ATCCCAGAGCCGCGATTCTTCACCCTTCACAAGGGCGGTTCAGATTTTAGTTAACGACTTTCGGTCCTAACTGCGCTACTAAACGCGGTGGTGGAGCCGCAACGCCGCGGTAAATGAAAAGCAAACTGCCGCGTCGCTTGCTGCAGTAGACCGAGGGATTGGCAAACATCGGTTTCGACGCGCGGCTGACGAGAAAAATTTCAATTAACCGATGCACCGGGATCGCGACGGCGTCGATGGGACACGGGCTCGACCAACCATGGGTTCCTCGTGCTCTGGTCCGTGCCCGAAAAAAGAGTGAAAATTAATTACTTCGTCGTTGACGTCGCAGGGGCCAGGTGGATCGATCGTCCTCTTGATACGATTAAATCGCGCGCCAAGCTTTTATCCCCTGTTCCATCCCGCCGTTCCCTATTCCTTTTATTCCCCCTATTCCTTTTATTTCCCACCGTTCTTGTTTGTTCTCCGAGACGACAACGACGATTACGTCGCCGAAAGAATCACCGGAGGATGTGATTTTTCCCGCGGACTAACTTCTTTGGACGGTTTCGACGGGGAAACGCGTCCTCGGTTTTCGAGTTTCTCTCGCGGTAGTGAACTTAACAAATGATTGATTCTTTTCGGTCCTAACCATTTATTATTTACTTTGTTGTACGATTTTGTGAAAGTTTAATCCTCTCGAACGGCCATACGGGAAATAGATATACTTTAAACCTGTTTTTTTTTTATGGAGAATATTGTCTAATTATGCTTACTATTATCATGCATTATTATTATAAATTAATAATACTTACGATGTATAGAGGGAAAGAATGTGTTAAGAAAATGAAATATATTATAAACATTGTTACGACTTCATGAAAAGTCGGCCAGCATTATAGTAAAACGACTCTTATGATCGATCTATCTAAAAATGGTTCACTCGAGAGGGTTGCCAAGAGGAGTTTGTTTAATACAATCTAACAAGTCAGTCTCTGATAGAGAATCTTGGAGAGCGGATGTGTCTTGAATCTGTTATATTGGGTTGGCAAGAAAGTAATTTCGGTTGTGACACATAGATAGCGTTGTAAGTGTTTTAAAGGACTCTTGTCTGCGTTATGGTTTTTTCCTTTTGACATTTGATATCAGTCACATTTAGGTTACTTAAGAAGCAAGTTGTGCAAATTTTTGTTTGTAGCTGTTAGTTCAGGGTCAATTTTAACATGGAGTGCAAAAACGAACATTTTCGGCATATTTTACTCTTTTATTTTCGTAAAGGAAAGAAAGCTGCTGAGGCCCACAAAGAGATATGTGAAGTTTATGGTGTTGATTGCATAACAGATCGCACGTGTCAGAATTGATTTAAAAAATTCCGTTCTGGAGATTTTTCACTCAAAGATGACCAACGTTCTGGTCGACCAACTGAAGTTGATAATGACCAA